AGTGATCATATATGGTTCCAAACGGCATTGTACGACCTCAAGATGTATATTTTAGAATTTCAAGACTTTTCGACACCGCGCCCTGAAACATTAAAATTTCTCCAAAAGCGTGGATATTAACCTTCAATTTTGGAATTTTTACACTTTTTTTAGCCCGGAAATAAAAAATGCCGAAATGTTTACCAAGGTCGAAAATACCCTCCGAGAGTCTGATGGGTGGGTGGAACCATTCAATTTGCCATTAAACGGCTAATTTACCGGTTTACAACTTACACCGATTTCATTAATTCAAGCCACCCACGAACATGTTTGACAACAAATAATGATCATATATGATTCCAAACGGCATTGTATGACCCCAAGATGTATCCCATAGAATTTCAAGTCTTTTCGACACCGGGCTTCGAAACGTCAAAATTTCTTAAAAAGCGTAAATATTAACCTTCAATTTTGGAATTTTTAGACTTTTTTTCGCCCGGATATAAAAATTGTCGAAATGTTTACCATGATCCCAAATACCCTCCGAGAGTCCGATTGGTTGGGTGGAACTATTCAATTTGACATTAAACAGCCAATTTACCGGTTTACATCTTACACCGATTTCAAACCACGAACATGTATGACAACAAATAATGAACTTATATGGTTCCAAACGGCATTGTATGACCCGAATATGTATTCCATATAATTTTAAGTCTTTTCGACATCGGTCCCTGAAACGTCAAAATTTCTCAAAAAGCGTGGATATTAGCCTTCAATATTGAAATTTTTTGGCTTTTTTTAGCCCGGAATTAAAAATTGCCGAAATGTTTACCATGGTTCCAAATACCCTCCGGGAGTCCGATTGGGTGGGTGGAACCATTCGATTTTCCATTAAACGGCCAATTTACCGGTTTACAACTTACACCGATTTCATTAATTCAAGCATCCACGAACATTATGACAACAAATAATGATCATATATGGTTCCAAACGGCATTATATGACCCCGAGATGTATCCCATAGAATTTCAAGTCTTTTCGACACCAGGCCCAGAAACGTCAAAATTTCTTAAAAAATGTGGATATTAGCCTTCAATTTTGGAATTTTTAGACATTTTTCTAGCCCGGAAATAAAAGTTGCCAAAATGTTTACCATGGTCCCAAATACCCTCCGGGAGTCCGATTGGGTGGGTGGAACAATTCAGTTTGTCATTAAACGGCCAATTTACCGGTTTACATCGTACACCGATTTCATTAATTCAAGCCAACCACGAACATTTATGACCACAAATAATGATCATATATGGTTCCAAACGGCATTATATAACCCGAGAAGTATCCCATAGAATTTCAAGTCTTTTCGAAACCGGGCCCTGAATCGTCAAAATTTCTCAAAAAGCGTGGATATTAGCCTTCAACTTTGGAATTTTTCGACTTTTTTTCGCCCGAATATAAAAATTGCCGAAATGTTTACATGGTCCCAAATACCCTCCGGGAGTCCGATTGGGTGGGTGGAACCATTCAATTTTCCATTAAATAGCCAATTTTCCGGTTTACAACTTACAACGATTTCATTAATTCAAGCCAATCACGAACATTTATGACAACAAATAATGATCATATATGGTTCCAAAAGACATTATATAACCCCGAGATGTATCCCTTATAATTTCCAGACTTTTCGATACCAGGCTCCGAAACCTTTAAAATTTCTCAAAAAGCGTGGATATTAGCCTTCAATTTTGGAATTTTTTGACTTTTTTCGCCCGAAAATAAAAATTGGCGAAATGTTTACCAAGGTCCCTAATACCCTATGGGAGTCCAATTGGGTGGGTGAAACCATCAAATTTGTCTTTAAACGACTTATTTACCGCTTTACAACTTGCATCGATTTCATTAATTCGAGCCAACCACGAAAATTTGTGACAACAAATAATGATCATATATGGTTCCTTACGGATTCATATGACCCCGAGATGTATCCCATAGAATTTCAAAACTTTTCGACACCGGGCCCCGAAACCTCTAAAATTTATCAAAAAGCGTGGATATTATTCTTCAATTTTGAATTATTTGACTTTTTTTTGTCCGCAAATAAAAATTGTCAAAATGTTTACTATGGTCTTTAATATCCAACGGGAGTCCAATTTGATGGGTGGAACCATACAATTTGCCTTTAAACGGCAAATTTACTACTTTACAACTTGCACCGATTTCATTAACTCAAGCCTAGCACGAACATTTACAACAATATATAATGATCATATCTGGTTCCAAACGGAATTATATGACCCCGAGATGTATCCCCTAAAATCTCAAGGATTTTCGACACCGGGCCTTGAAACCTCCTAATTTTCTCCAAAAGCGTGGATACTAGCCTTCAATTTCTAAATTTTTTAATTTTTTTTCGCCCGAAAATAAATATTGCCGAAATGTTTACCATGATTCCTAAGACCCTCTGGTAGTCCAATTAGGTGGGTCGAACCATCCAATTTGTATTTAAACGGCCAATTTATCGGTTTACAACTTGCTTTTATTTCATTTACTCGAGCTTACCACAAACATTTATGACAACATATGATGGACATTTATAGTTTTAAACGTCATTATATAACCCCGAGATGTATCCTCGAAAATCTCATTTCTTTTCGACACCTGGCCCCGAAACCTTCGAAATTTCTTAAAAAGCGTGGATATTCCTTCAATTTAGGAACCTTTAGACTATTTTTCGCCCAAAATTCAAAATTGCCGAAATGTTTCCCATGGTCCCTAATACCCTATGGGGGTCCAATTGGGTGGGTGGAACCATCCAATTTACCTGTAAACGACCAATTTACCGGTTTACAACTTGACCGATTTCATTAACTCAAGTCTACAACGAACATTTATGACAACAAATAATGATCACATATGGTTCCAAACGACATTATATGACCCCAAAATGTATTCCCTAAAATTTCGATAATTTTAGACACCGGGCCTCGAAGACTCCAAAATTTCTCATAAAGCGTGAATATTATTAGACTTCAAATTTTGAATTATTTGACTCTTTTTCGCCCGTAAATAAAAATTGATGAAATGTTTACTATGATCCCTAATACCCTCTGGGAGTCCAATTGTGTGGGAAGAACCATCCAATTTTCCTTTAAATGGCCTATCTACCGGTTTACAACTTGCACCGATTTCATAAACTCAAGCTTACAACATTTATGAAAACATATGATGATCATATATGGTTCCAAACGACATTATATGACCCAGAGATGTAATCCAAAAATTTCAAGACTTTAATTTTGGAATTTTTTTGATTTTTTTTCTCCCTGGAATAAAATTTCCAAAATGTTTACCATGATCCCTAAAACCCTTAGGAAGCCAATTGGATGGGTGGAACCATCCAATTTGCCTTTAAATGATCAATTTACCCGAATTGGCAGCTCTAACAAGTGTGATAAATAAAGCTGGTTAAGTAAAAAAGAACGGAGGTAGTATTTGTGCTTCATACTTGTCCTAATAATTTATTTCTTTTGGTTTTGGAAAAAAGTGCAAATTTACAATTAGTAATACTAGACAATACAATAAACCCTCTTTAGTTATTTATAAAATCTAGTTTTTAATAAGTATATACTCCCTCCATTTTTAAATACTTGCTCCACTTTCTTTTTCCGGTCGTTTTTAAATCTTCATACTAGTCCTAATAATTTATTTCTTTTGGTTTTGGAAAAAAGTGCAAATTTACAATTAGGAATACTAGACAATACAATAAACACTCTTTAGTTATTTATAAAATCTTGTTTTTAATAAGTATATACTCCCTCCGTTTTTAAATACTTATTCTACTTTTCTTTTCCGGTCGTTTTTAAATATTTGTTCCATTTCTTTTTTTAGAAAGCTTTTACAATATTAAATTCAATTTTCACACTTAGTGGACTCAACCTAATACTCTCTCTCCTCCTATTCTTCCACTATTTTTGTTTTTTACATTTTTTATTTTCTCAACTAACCCACTACCTCCATATTTTATTACTTTCTCCAATTTCTCCTAAAACTCCGCACATGGATAAATGGAGCAAGTATTTAAAAACGGAGGAAGTATCATATAACCTTTAATATATGAATTAGTTTTAGTTATAAAAAAAATTTGAAAAGAAACTTTGACTTATTTGATGACTACTATCACACACTTTATCAAACCATTTACTCTGTATTTGTGATTTATACATAATAAATAATATAATTAAGTAATCTTATCAAATTCATCTCAAATCAGTGTATATACCTCAAAAAAAAAAATTGATTATTTCTTTTTTATAATCCTTATTGTTAATTAATAATACTAATTGTTACCGAGTTGATAAACGTGAAGAAAGAAACGACATCCCAAAATAAACATTACCGGGGAATTGAACTCTTAAAGGAAAGGAATTATTCGACCACAATTAGCCATCAATGCCAATACATCATAAGATTTTAACCAACTAAGCTAGCTAACCATCAACACATGCAATCAACTTACTGAATCATCCTTTCTCTCTTCTCACTTCAAATCCATCTTCCCACAAAAAGCAATTTATATGGAAAAGTGGAGTGCTTTGATTAATTTGCAATGTGTTAGTAATTTGCACTAATTGAATTATATATTTTGCTTTGTGCTACTAACCCACTAAAGATTTTGTAGTTTTCCTCAAGAACCCATAATATATAGGTGATATAAATTAAATTAAATGTGTTGGGGTATAAATTATACGTGGTAATTAAGCAAAATATGGAAAGTTCTGTTTTCCTAAGGTGTTCCTATTGAGCCAAGATAAGAGCTGTTCTATAATCATTTGCATGATACTGTACTTACTCCTTTGAACCACTAACAAATTTCTGCTACTAACATGCAATTAATTGAGCAATTTGCAAATCATGCATGTTAATGCGAATAATCGTAGTTGACCTACTCCACCTTCATTTTGTCTCCTGTCTTTTTCTTTGACCTTGCAAAACATCGTTACTATATATACCCTTTTAAACTTATGTCATCATATCATAACAGAAAACATTCCAATAACTCAATTTCTAGTAGTAATATAAGCTTCTAAAACATTTAATTTAGATGGCTAAGTCCATGAGCTACTGTGTTGTTCTTGCTCTCCTAGCACTTGCAGTTGTTCCTCTATGCTTTTCTTCCAAAACCCAACAAGGTGGTTATCTTTACCCTCAGTACTACGATCACTCGTGCCCCCAAGTCCAACAGATTGTTAAGTCTGTTGTTGCCCAGGCGGTTGCTAGGGAACGTCGTATGGCTGCTTCCTTGCTGAGGCTCCATTTCCACGATTGCTTTGTTAAGGTACTTACATCATATCCATAATGTTCATGTTGTTGCATATTTGGTCAAAACCAATCAATATTTACACATCGGTGCAATTAAATTTTCAGGGATGTGATGGATCAGTACTGTTAGACACCAGTGGAAGCATAGTCTCAGAGAAGGGATCAAAGCCTAATAAGAAGTCGATTCGAGGGTTTGAGGTCATCGATGAGATCAAAGCCGCAGTGGAGAGAGCATGTCCCCATACTGTCTCATGTGCTGATATCCTTGCTATAACTGCTAGAGATGCAACTGTCATTGTGAGCAATTAAGCCTTAATACTTTTCTGCTGTATTATAGTAGCTATTCACTTATGACATTATGGGCCTTATATATGGAATGCAGTTGGAAAACAATATATAAAGATACAACATACATATATATACTCCATTCTGAAACTTAATTAATATAGCATAAAAAAAATTGATAATGTTATTAATTTATTAAGCAATAATTGCAGGCTGGTGGACCAAATTGGGAAGTGCCCTTGGGAAGAAGGGATGCTAGAGGAGCAAGTTTGCAGGGATCTAACAACGAAATTCCTGCTCCTAACAACACATTTAACACCATTCTTACCAAGTTTAAACGCCAAGGCCTCAAACTAGTCGATCTTGTTGCTCTCTCAGGTTTGTTCTGAAGCATTTACATATCAGTGTGGATCCAGAAACTTTTTTTTTTTTTACTTTAAAGAATACTTATATTACCAACATTCTTGAGTTTTTTTTTTTTTTATGTAATAAAGTAAATCTTTTTTCTCACGAAATTTTACCAATTTTTTAATTAAGGGAATGTGACTGCATGCTTAACTTTAAGGCTAAGTATCTGCTCATGATTCATATTTTCCTCTATGGTTCTTTTAGTTTTACTGACTATATAGGTGTATGATAAGATTGCGTTATTAATTGCATTTTATTTTTCTTATGTAAATTGAAATTAACAAAAAAGAGTTTTGGTGTACAGGTGCTCACACAATAGGTAATGCAAGGTGTGTTAGCTTCAGGCAAAGGCTGTACAACCAGAATCGAAATGGGCAACCTGATGTTACACTAGACCGGGTATATGCTTCGCAGTTGCGCAACCAATGCCCACGATCCGGTGGTGACCAAAACCTATTCTTCTTAGACCATGTATCACCCTTCAGCTTTGACAACAGCTACTACAGGAACATATTGGCTAACAAGGGACTGTTGAATTCTGACCAAGTTTTGTTGACCAAGAATAAAAAGTCAATGAAATTAGTCAAGCAATATGCTGAGAACATGGAGCTTTTCTTTAATCATTTTGCAAAATCCATGGTTAAAATGGGTAACATTTCTCCATTGACAGGACCTAAAGGAGAGATCAGGCAGAATTGCAGAAGGATTAATTCCTACTAAGAATTTTAAACAGGACAAAGTCCTCTGTATTTTTATTTTTATTGGTTTTTTTCTGTATTGTTATTTAAGTTGAAAATTTATGTAATTTATTCTGTTCTTTTTACCTGTACAAGGAAATTCATAACATGTATGTATGAAGCAGAATGATCGCCGCCTGTGGCAAGCTTCAAAAGAAATTTGTATATCAGTCTTTCCAAGTGAAATAAATTGATTTGTTTCTTACTTTATTACTTCATCTTAATTGTTTCATTTGTTTGTTTATCAAAGTTCATGCATGACACATTGTCACTAATATGTTCTTGTATTTATGTTCATTCCTTCTTACTCGAAAATTTTAGGCCAAGGAAGAAGTTAGTTATAAAGGCTAAGTTTGATCAAATTTCATGGCGAAACAAAACATTGTTCGTATTAGACTACAACAAAGGCATTAATGAAACGATATCTTTAACATGAATAACACCATCGGCAATACTTAACTCCTCCAAAACACACCATTTTAATGTGACGTGAAGAGTGTCTAGCTAATTGACTTATGTATGTACTCCTTCTGTTCAAAAATAATAGTCACATACTATTACCAGGTAAATAATGATTGGATTTCTAAACATATCCTTTACTTCTCGTATAATATATGGATTATATTGGGGAATAAAGGAACAACATTATTAAAGATTACACTAAAGTTCCGCCTAAAACTGTACCTTGCTTAATTAGAGTAGTCTATTTCTACTTCTATCTTTTCTTGGGTGCAAGGAAGGTAATCTACAATCCAAAGGATCAATCTATAAAAATTTAGATAATCTTAAGGCTAAAACTGTACCTTGCTTAATTAGACCCACAAATAAGATAATCTTAAGCAGAATTAGGAGGAAATATTGGTTTGGCTTCTCTTCTTTTCACTCTTAAAATAACGATTTACCAACTACCATACCATATCTATACAAGTGTAATTGATGATATTGTGCAACTAACAATAACAATATATTATGCCGCATGCTATGTGTCATTGTGTACACAGCATTGGGCGAATTTGCATTACTTTTCACTTAATTTTTTTTTTCCCCATTTTTCCATTTAGGGAGAAGGCTCTACCCAAGTTGCAATGTCAAACTCCCTCCGGATTAGGACTTAAGAAACAAAATTTCTTAAGTACTTCCAAAATCCAGAGAGCCCCCTTCAGTGAAATTTTATGTCAAAACTTTGTGGTTATGCCATAAATTTTCATTTGTAAATCATCGACCATCATATTTTGTGATGATATCTCACTATCTGGCCCTTCAAATGATTAATAATCCATTAACATAAACTAAAATTTTTATGTTGACCGTTATATGATCAACGAGTTAATTATTTTTTTTGTTAATGTAAGTGGCGTGCTAAAAACATGGTGTAACTAAGCTATTGTCGTATCTTAGGCTGCTTATAAACTTTCCAACTAAATAATCGAGCTTAATTATGCCCTAGGAACGAGGTGCATATATATGCCAATTAATATGATTCAGTTTTATTTAACAACACTATCTTAGTCAGCTGGTAGCAGTTGAAAATTATAGGCCATTCAACCAATCATCTTTTTACTCATCATCTAAGACCAACTACTACTCTCATTAATTAACTACCCTTTTGTAATAATAAGAATTGAATAATCATTCATAAACTTGGTATTGACATGCTCAATTATATACTTGGTAACAAGTAAGTATAATTTCGGATGAAAAGAGTAAGTTACCATGACATGATGATGTTAGTATAAGAAAAACTATAAGAAAGACGTCAATTCAATAATTAATGGCAACAAAAACTTGTTATACTAAAGTGGGATTCCTCATTCTATAAAGGTGGGTCTTTAGTCTTTACTCTTTAGCTAAGCAAGTAGAACTCTTTTAAGTATGAAAAAGCTAAAATTCTCTCTCCTTGTATACGAGTCTCGAAACAAAGCTATGATTAAAGCAATAGTTAATTATTGAACCTTAATTACATGCTGGATTCCAATTCAAAGAGTCCCTCTTAATGATTATTACTAAAGAAATTCTCTCCTATGATCTGCTTAAATTAGCTTGTTTTTATTCATCTTAGACTGCTGTAAAGCAAGGTTAGGCCACACCGACAATTGATAACCCTTTCGATTAGGACATTTTTTATAGGCGTTAATTACTGCTACTCGAAAAAACGTGCACAACCTAATTGGTTAGTTAGGATTAGAGAAGGATATAAAGTAAAGCATGAAATAAACCTCGTGATCCTACAGTGCAAGGCAAGGTCTTTTTATGTAATCCCTCCCTTTCCATTTAATGTAACAGTTTGACTAGCACATTGATTAATGTATAAATTTTTTTATTTATTTTTACATTAAGTAAATCTATAAAACATCTTAGGTCAATAAACTATTACGAGTACAATTAAAATGATACATGCATATAAATAGTGCAAAAGTCATCAAATTATTAATATAATTTAATTAATTAAACCATTTGTTAATGCAACTCGGATCTTTTTCCTGATTAGGGCAGCGCACTTTGCAAATAGTATATAATATATACATAAAATAATTGATTTATGCATGTAATATAACTTAGAGGATCTAATATTTTTTTGTATCTTTTAGGTTGTTCTTATTATCTAAGTATTCTCTATGGTCAAATCAGATGGCTCAATTTATTTGTAAATGATCAAAAGCTATCCATATACAAAAGAATAATGTGATCTTTTTTATGTATATACAAATATGAAACATGTAATAGTGCTACTTCTATTCTCAAATAGGTGTCCATTCACTAATATTAATATGAAGTTTTGATTTGAAGTAAAGCTATCCAGCTAGAAGAATTGTGTAAAGTGCAAAATTTTAATTTTAATAAATTAATTTGGAATGAAATTAGCTAAGATCAATTCTTTTTGCATCAATGCCTTATGTATAAAGAATGCTGCTTAAATATGGCTTGAAAACCTAACCAGTGGAGAATGATAATTACATATTTATCTTACAAACTAGAAATTAAAGAGGTGGTTAATTAATGATATGCTATATGTTGCTTAAATCAACCAATAAAAATTTTACTTAACAATGAGTTAAAATTTGCACAAAGTTGATACTACAAAGTATATATTATGACAAATAACAAGATCAATTTCAGATAACTGGACTTTTACTTGAGTATAAATAATCAAAGATTATCAAAATTTAACAGATAGATAATAATGTAAAAGTCGCAGTTAAAAATAAATAGAAGAAGTATCAAATTTGACAATTTATTCACATTCTGAAAGACTTGACCTACATTTCAAACCACCCTCCCTCCCCCAATACCGTTAAATAGTGAGGTGACAAAATCACCTAATAATATGTCTTATATGACCCACCCAAGACCTTGGTGTCCTTTGCTTTACATTGCATGGTTCTTTTTTAATTCTATGATATGAAAACTAATGCAATAAATAACATGACTTGTTAACAACTCCACTATTTTATTTTTGTACCTCTTATCTCGCTAGTTCTTGTACTCTATTCATTTACTTCAAAGAACAAGAACTCTCCTGCTATAAATAACAACGTACAACACATCCTCTAATCTAAGCAAAAGCATTATTCTTTTCTCAAAAATGGCTAAGTCTCTTAACTATCTCATTCTTCTGTCTCTCTTAGCCATAGTTCCTTCATGTTTCTGTGAGAAAAGCCAAGGGGGTTCTCTCTACCCACAATTCTATGATCACTCATGTCCCAAAGTTGAAGACATTGTTTGGTCTGTAGTCGCAAAGGCGGTCGCTAAAGAACCAAGGATGGCAGCCTCTCTGCTTAGGCTCCATTTCCATGACTGTTTTGTCAAGGTCTTTACTTGAAATGAATGATAATATTACTACATATGCTTATTTCAGATAATGTTCTTATTTTTTCGTACTTTAATGGGTTTATACTGATGATTACTGCAGGGTTGTGATGGTGGTGTGCTGCTGGACAGCAGTGGTAGCATAATAAGTGAGAAGAGGTCGAACCCAAACCGTAACTCAGCCCGAGGATTCGAGGTCATTGATGAGATCAAGGCAGCTGTGGAGAAAGCATGCCCTGAGACTGTGTCCTGTGCTGATATCTTGGCTATAACAGCCAGAGACGCTACTCTTCTTGTAAGTTTGGCATGTAAATCTTAAGGTTATTATATCATACTACTACAAACATGTTATTATGTAAATCATTATGGTTAACAGTGGTTCATGTATGGTGCAGGCTGGAGGACCAAACTGGGAAGTACCACTAGGAAGAAGGGATTCTCTAGATGCTAGTTTAAGTGGTTCAAACTACAACATTCCAGCTCCTAACAACACTTTTCAAACCATTCTTACCAAGTTCAAGCTTAAGGGACTTGATCTAGTCGACCTTGTCGCGCTCTCAGGTATGCTGATCACTTTTTTTTCTAGCCCTTTGATTAGCTCTGTCTGGAACTAAAAAAAAAAGGGACATTGATATGAAATCAAATTCTAATCTTGCCTAAGAAAAAGAGATTCCTCCTTTTAGAAAAGTAATCCTATAATGAACTGTGGTGCTAATAGAGAAATGATTGTCCTTTGAGGGGCTTAGAATGCTCATATTATTGTACATAAAAGTGTAAAAGCCAAGCCAATACAAAGTGTTGTGTACAGAGAAAAGTCTAAATTCCTCAACTATTTTATGGTGAACAAGAAGCTAATTGACCAAAATGCCCATCAATAACTTTACCAAAAAATAATTTGAATGGGGCTAGTGGCAGGATAGAAATTAAAGAATATTTATAAAATGATATGGTTTCATAGTTAGTTGTCTGTGTACGAACATGTAATGGGGATAAGGTCATATGGAAACAGAAAACAGAGCAGTAATGTGTTCTTCATTTCCGAACCTTGAGGTTAGGGGTTCAAGTCTTATAATTTAGCATAAGTTTTTTATTACCTTCCCTGTCCGTTCTAGGCCCATCTTTCCAACATTTCAAAAGGGAAAAAATGATTAGGAAAATAAAAAGTATCACTAAGCCAATCTTGTACTTCGTATATGTCATTATTTCAGCACTAAATGTTAGAGACTGAAGAGGATTAATCTTTTTCAGGGAGTCACACAATTGGGGATGCAAGGTGTACTAGCTTCAGGCAAAGGCTATACAACCAGAGTGGAAATGGGCAACCTGACAACACTCTGAACCAAGCATATGCAGCCGAGTTGCGCACCCGTTGCCCACAGTCTGGTGGTGATCAGAACTTGTTT